GAGCGCCCAGGCAAATATAGAGACGAGCTGGAGTACAAAATGGGGGTAAGCCTGTTCTGTACTCTATCCAAATGGGCGAAGGTCTCTGCCATGCCAATTCAAAGTCTTGATAATAACCTGCTAGAAAACTGGTCATTGGCCTGATGGACTGGGTTTCAGTTTGATGCAAGACATAAAAGATTCCGGGTTATCGAGACTCACTGTCGTAGTTACAGTATAAATAGGTAGTTCAGTGTACATTTGGTGTTATTATTTGGATTTGTTGAATGGAGTTGAGGCTTAGAACGCCCTTCATTAAAGAAATTTGCATGTTCGGCTCTGCATCTAGAATGAAAACTGGAAGAATTTGGGCAAAATTGGAGGTTGCTGGATATACAAGAAAGTTTTTGTAGGGGTTTATCGTAGGGCCCGAGGGAAGGTATTAATACCAAAAAACAACTTGAAAAATTTAATAAGGTTGAATTTACGCCAACTCAAACACGTCTTGGGCTATTTTAAACAATAGGAGTTGTTGTAATAGTTTTCTGGGTCTTTAGGCTTTTCTTTAGGCGCCCTGTTCACCTGCATTTGAAGTTCAGTAAAACAATTACAAGCAGCTTCTATCCATTTCTTATTGCATATTTATTACGCAACTATACGGCTCGTGTTGTGCGCGGCCATTTTATAAGCCTTTAACTAAGAATTCGGATTGAAACTTAGGCCATTGAGCGGCCCTAGGATTAATTCTTGCCACATTTTATGTGCTATTTAATGTGACAGAAGAAAACCTTTTATTTTGTTGCCTTGGGCTATAGAAGGACACATATGATCAAGAAAATGTTTAAATACTCCCCCTCAGGAACCGAAAAATCTAATTTTGCTAGTGAAACAAGGAACGAATTTAGTTTGAAAAATTATTTTTTGCCAATTCCCGACGGTTTTGGTCACAAAACGCAGTATTGAACAGGTTTGATCATAGGATGTCTTACCACACCGAGATTTGGTACCTCAAACAAAATACTTAACCTTTAGCGCGGAGGTGGACGCCATAAGCAAGCTAATTTACATTTGAAGTCTGTGGGAAGAAACGTTTTTGCTCAATACAATTTCCGCCAGTGTGTAATTTGAAAGCAGAACGGGTAAAAACTTAGCAGTTTTCGCTAACTCTTACTATATATTCGACCACCCTGTTGCGCATTTGCCGTTTTAGAGCAAATTTACTGAAGAACACTCCAAAATTTTATGATCGAGTTTCCGGAAAATAAAAAAAAACTGGTCAAAGCTCCCCATGATTACTTTGACGTTACTTTGGAAAAGGGTAGTTTACGCGGAATTTCTTCAGCCCAATAAATAGTTAAAGTGCTTTTTAAATAGATGAGGTAGTTAACTGGGCTTGGGCGTATTAGTATCCGGCTTTTGTTGCAGACGTTCACTTGTCTTGACAATGAGTTTTCCCGAATGGGCGAGTCTAAAAATATGAACGAAACGACCATCTGCATTAGGAAGTATGTTCAAAACTCACGACTTCGGTTAACGCTTTTACGAAGTATCTTAACTGTTAGGTTATGACAAACACATAGAGCAATTGCCAAGCGTACGTATAATTTCAAAAAATTCTCATCAGGCCGTTACATTTATATGGAAGGGGGGGG